ATCTATCTAATTTACTAATTCAATTTTTATAATTGAGGCACAGAATACTATTTTGTACGGAAAATAAATTATTGCACACTCATAATGGTAAAAATGACCACGTATGAACGTATTATCGTGCATTACTGGTTTCATCACATTGTCGATAGCAGTTGAAAAATAGGCTTCTTACAAGAGAGAGATAGTCGAAAGTTTATTGAACTGTCTATCAAACGATATTATTTGAACACGGGGAAACATTTTCTGTACAATATTCCAGTGAAAATTTTTTGTGCCATAAAGTGAGTACTTTATGAAATGAATTATTTATGAAATTATCTACTGTTTATTCTTTTGTATGTCAGTACAACTATTTGAACATAACATGGATGATCTTATTGTGATAAACAAGATATGTATATATAGTAATAGAGATCATCAGAAGCGAATGAAAATGCTAATCATGAAAGAGTTATGCTAAACGCCTTTAAACTCAAGAATTGCTGTGACTATCAATTACTCTTCTTTTATATTTGAATAGTATTATTTGTTAATTTAATAGTTTCAGCTGCTTTTTGAGTTTCTATTCATATATTTCATAGTGTAAAATAAATTCTATTTCTTCAATCATCAAATGATGAAAAATCTTCATATATTTTTTATTGTAAAATACAAATAAAATAATTTTTCTACTCGTACCTACATCAATATCGAAGAGAATACAAATAGTTTTACATGTGTATCAAATGAAAACTAATTCTACAACTTTTTCTAATACACACGTATGTATATACACAAAATTTCTACACAAAAAAAAAATAAGACAAGAATTTCTTGAGAAGAAGATGAAAATATCTCGAAGCATAGTGATAGTAATAAATGCCAATTAAGTAAAATCATGACTAGATGCAATTTGAATAAGAATAAACTAAAAGAAAATAGTATGAAGATACTTATTAAATTGAAAAAAGAAATTTTTACTTTATATGTATAATGCATCTGTAGATAGACGAGATTCCAAAACGATCACAATTATTTAAATGAAAGAGAATTGTATTGATTGAGGTAAGAAAATTAGAATCATATCAATATTCATTCACTGTTTAACAGAATGTTATAGAGAAAACCAAACTATATAAAATATATTCGATGAATATAAAGTTCTATTATTATATTTTGTTTTACTTTAACATCGAGAATTATTTGTTGTTGATGATATAACAAGAGGTGTGAGTTTTGCGGCAGTTAAAATCATTTCTTCGCCATCTTCATTATGAATATGATTAATATGTGAAGAAATATTATTATGATTATCATCTGATATATGTACATCTTCATCAATAATACTAAACATTTTTGATTGTTGAGAAGTTCGTTTATCTGATATATATGATATAGATGGTTTATCAAAATCTTCTTCATCTTCTTGTGGCATTTTCGCATATGATTCTTGATGTGGTGATCTTGTTAACGAAACACGTGTTACATTAAAAAATGGTTGACGTCGACTACTACTACTACGATTTTCAATATAAGATGAATGAGTATCGGTTGTAGTTATACTACTATTATCTAAATGTTCACCAGGTGTAGAAATTGATATTGTTGTTGGTCGTTTGAGACTTGTAGATATCTTTGATATAACACTATGTGATGATTGGTGTGAACGTTTATTTGCTTCTTCCTAAAAAAAAATCGAATATTATAATATACTGATTCATATAATAGTTTTGAAATCATACGATTTGTTTCTGTGCTCTTGTTAATTTAACTTTCTGATCAATTGCTTGTTGTTGTGAAATAAGTTTTTGTCTATTTTCTTTTGAAAAACGATTATGCCATCGTTCATTAATAGAATTTGTATTCACTTGTAATGATATTGATTCATTAAGATCATTATTTTCATTTTGATTTTGTAATTCATTATGATCAATCATTTCTTCACATGATTTCGATTTTTTTAAACGATTAAAACGTGGTAATGGTCGTATACGTATAACTGATGCTATATTATGTTTTGTATTAACACGAACATGATCACTTGGATGTAGAAAACGATAATACATAAACTGGAAAAAAA